TAAGACAGAAACATTCTAAGTATAAATAGATTGCGACTAACAGTGAACTAAAATATACGCATTTCTTCCTATATTAAACTCATCACCTAGATATAGCTGCATCTCTACGTTAACATTTATATCTAAGACTATAGAGTTATCCACTTGGCTCATAATGTAACACTGCTAATCAAGATCGATCAGAATTCTGCACTGAACACTAACATGGAGATAATGTCCATAATTACGAAGAAATATTTTTCTAAATGTGATAGAAAATTATGTTGAAGCTAAAGTTTTAAAGCCAATTATGTTTTGTACACAGAACTTTAGAAATAGACTGTGAATGACCAAAATGTTTACAATCCACCATATAATTGAGGATATGAACCTTTAGAAATCTTTGACCAGATCTTGTAAATGATACATATATAAGAAACTAGATTACATCTATATTTCAGGATAATCAATTATAAATACTACTGAATATTTTTATATCAGACATATGTATACATAAATGTCAAATAAAATTTCTACATTCAGTTTTTATTAACAGTCCAAATATTGTCTGTTATGTAATAGAAATTTACTACATCAGTACCGATCTAGCTACAATTTTTTTTCCGAAAAATGCGATCAATACAAACATAAAATAATTCTTCCATGAATTAAAGAATGTAAAATGTTCACATCTTCAGTAATGAATGTGAAGAAACAGGGAAGAAGATGAATGTCATTTTAACTTTCCATAAAATTAATTTGAATGACGATGAATGATACACATAAGCTTGTTTGTGTGTAAATAGGCAATTGTGGTATAAAATTTTGAATAAGCCTTCCTTTTATTGATATCTCACTGAATAAAATTAAAGTTTTCCAACAACCAATATGATTGTATTTTTAAACTTATTCATGTTGAGCACTAGAAGACACTTTCTTTTAAGCAGGGGTCGATGTCAGCTAGCAGTGGAATCCAGGACGCGCGTTTCGTCCTATATGGAACGCGTCAGCTGGATTCACCTGCCTCACAGTGTAGATGTTCACTCCAAAACTCGAGTCTATTACCCTTCGCTTCAAATGCCATCACGTGTTATTCATTATGCTACCAAGTCCAAATATCCATTAGCTTGTGTATTTGGGTGAAAATATTCACTGTTACAAAAATGAATTCCTTACCATTAAAGCACAAAAATTATGTTAATTAACTCAAACGTGAGAACTATAGATAAAGCAACGCGTTCTCATCTTTAGTGATGTCCTAGAGAGTAACTTAGTTGTCTTTCAACCATTCGGGCATGCATGTATTTGGAGAACTCACTAGCCCCATCATACCTAAAGAACGTTAAGTAAAGCTAAGTAAATGAATCTGTACATCGTAAATGAATTATATCATTATGTTTTGGTCAACACTCATATATCATTTTTTTTCATCTTAAGCTGTAACTTAGATAATATCTAAAACTAATTACTACTGGTTCAATGTTTCTTTTGATTGTATTCAATGAAAATTATTATCAATGTTTATTTTCACGTAACTGTTTTTGTATTTAAGTTCATCGATTTCCTTAGAACTGAAATTGATTAAATACTCGTTTACAGAGAGGGATATAAAATGTTCCCTATCAATAACAGAAATTTCCTTATAATTATGTCAGTGGAAAAGAAATACTTTAGTAAAAGAAAAATACTGAATAATTTGAATTGTATTTTAAAAAATGCAAGTTCTATTTTGAGATTGTAAGTAAAACTATCGGTTCTTAACCTTTACATTACTCAAAACATAAACGCTAGTAATACAAAACATGAATAAATGTTTCTATGTATGAAATCTATCTCATAAATAGTAAAATCCAAAAAAGTCATTTGATTATACATATCGTGGTATGTTTTAGACTGACATTCCGTATAATGAATTTATTGCTTCTTGATGAAGAGCTTCCTTTTTTTATTCAGTAATTAAGTTTATTACTAACTACCTTTCTAGATGAAACGATATTTTATGGACGACCTTGAAAATGTCCACCTACTTAATAGAACTAAATGAGGGTTATAAACTAGTATGAATAATTAGAATATTATGATTTATAGTTGATAGTTACGGTTAAAAATTAGATTTAGGGTTTTCATCACGAATTGACATCAGCTGAAATGTCAAAACGTTATTCAGCCAAATGGATGAATGAATTTTGTGCCAAAAACCAAGACCTATTTTCTTAAATCTGATTGGTTCATCCATAAATTATAGTCTCGCCGTCAATGAAAATAAAAGTAAACTGTATTGTATTATTTGTTCTGAATATATAAGTCTAAATATTTATAGTATAAAACTAGTTATCCTATAACACGAAAAATTAGCAAGGATTCTATATTAAATAAGAAATATTTATGAATATAAGGCAATTTAATGTCAGTTTTTGTCTTATTACAACTTAAAGCTGGGATTTTTAAGCATAGTTGATTAGTGGCTGGTGCTAGAATTGAAGACACACGTTTCTTCGTATTCAGAACTTATCAGCCCGATATTTCTACATCCCAGTATTTCTATTCACACAGATACTTGAACTCAATATCTTTCACCTCAAACACCATATGCATTATTCACTAAGTTCCTGAGTTCAAATAACCATTGGCTTGATCATTTAGTCCTTAGCATCAACAATGGGAAGTTTAAAACTTTTATAACAAAGTCATAGTCAAAAAGATTTTCTTACAATAAATTCTTTCATTGAATTTAAATCAATGATAATTTTGAAAATTATAATAAAACTTTCTTAGCAAATAAACAAAAAAACAACTAATTCTAAAAATAATCACAAATTTCCATGGTATCAGTTGAAAAACAAAACAAAAAAAAACGATAAATAGTCTAGTTGACATGACTTATTTAATTGGCATATCATCTTTTACAACACACAATATGTGAATAAACAACAGATTTTTCAATAGCAACAAAACAAATGTTTTCATAACTAAACATTTATAATCAAATACTATTCATGTATTCGCAGTTGATTAATCACTGTGTGGTGATCAATGTCATGTGTTTCAAGTCCTTATTTAGTACAGATCGAATGCTATCGACCATGTTGCAATGTGGCCACCAGTCTAGGTGACTCGACACTGCATGCACTATATATATTGAGATTAGATGGTGGTTGGAGGTAGTCGACAGGAAACGTTGGACCCGGGTTTCGTGCTACTTGGCACTCGTCAGCAAGGTGGTTGGTCGCGGCCCGGATAGCTCAGTGGTCGCGTCTCTGACTGTGAAGCCGGGTGACACAGAGTCGAATCCGCCAGGGATCACCAGTTTCCTCAAGATTACAGGGACTTTTCATGTACGGTTACATTTTATTAGTCACCATAGTTTATAAGAAACGAGTACAATTTTTTGTTGTTATTGTTGTTGATGTTATCAAGAATGTATCTCTCCATATGTTACTTTGGTTAAAAAGGTATAGAATATTCTAGAATTTAAAAGATTGAATACATTTATAACGACATGATATCATGAGTATAAATTATTTAGTTTATTTTTTCCCCAGTTGTTTATTCATCATTGTATATTGAAATGCTTAGTGTATATTCATGTTGCTAAACTGATATATTTAGAATAATTCATTTTTAATCATTAAACGCTTCCATATATAACTGAATAAATTTCTTTACAGTTGAATTCATGAATTAATTGAAGTTAGATCACCATGGAAAATCTGGGAGCAATGAACGATCGTTTCGTTTCATTGTGGGACTCCTCAGAAGTGCACATCCACGATCCCGCCTCCCGAGTTTTGAACCCAGGATCTATCAGTCTCGCGCGCGATCGCTTAACCACTAGACCACTGAGTCTGCATCCAACGGTGTTAATGTCTAATTTCAGCCGATCCACGAAATGGAAACATCGTTGACCAGGTTAGTCTAGTTTCAATGGACTCATGAATTTAACTATGAAATTACTAAACTCTCCACAAAACTCCTATTAAATTTACTTACCCCAAATCTAGTGAATATAGAGTGATCTTTCTTAAGGATAGCTTGTCACAGTTCTGTTTTAAATATAAACACATATCATGAACTAAAGATATTCTTTTTATATTATTATTAGTGGCTTTATTCAATACCATATTTGGTGTAGTATAGAATTCTTAGCATAAATTATTTCAATAGATTTCCTTTTCCTATTTCTTGATCGATCCTTGAAATTAATTTTGAGTGGTCGCCAGTTAGATGTTAGCAGCTCAGCAATCGACATGTGAATAATGTATATTTTTTTCAATGCATACAGTCAGCAACCACGATATCTTTGATTGAGCTCTTTTGTTACTTGTATAGCGAAATGCCGTAAACGCACCTGAATAGGTTATGAGACTAATAGGCAATTCGTTTAAATATCCAGATGGCAAGAACAGGAAGCCCAGATATTCAAGCAGGCCAAACAAAATATATAAAAATAACTATGGAGTTCAATCATAATAAATAATCAAGCTTTTATTGGCAAGATCATAATTTATGGATGAACCAATCAGATTTAGGGTAACAGGTCTTGAATTTTGGCGCAAAATCCACTCACCCATTCGTCCAAATAGGGTTGTGGCATTTTAACTGATGTCAGTTCATGATGAAAAGCGTAAATTCAAATTCTAACCGTAAACATCAACTGTAACTCATTGTCTTTATTCTTCAAACTGCTTTATAACCTTCATTTAGCTGTATTAAGTAGATAGACACTCTCAAGGTTACCTCGGCGTCGATCAAAGGTCGACCATAAAATATAGTCTTACCGCTTTTGTTGTTAAAGAAAAATCAAAAAATGATCCATTACTTTCTTAAATTAACTATATCTAAATTAAACAACACATAATGATCAAGAATTTTGCTAGACATTCATTGTTCTCAGTTTAATTCTATGTGTTGAGTAATGCCTCATGATTTTTCATAGTTTTCAAGCTATCTATTCACTTCTTCAAATCATCATCATCATCATATACATACAAATTCATTCATGATTATTAAAATCAACTTACTTAATCTTTTCATCTAATTCTTCAGCTTGTATATTCTTTGAATCCGTCATATAAGTTTGACATGATGTTTCTAATAGAGATTGCATTAAATAATTATCAACTGGAAACATTAAATCTAATATAATATCATCTTGTGTTAAAAATGATTGTTCTAATATTAAACGAAATTTCGATATTAATTCCATAATATGATACCAACAATTCCATGTATAATTTGTTGAATTGTCATTGGAATGATTATTAATAATGAATTCATATGAACAAAATGTTTGATTTAATTGAATTTTTAATAATTCAAGACTTTCAATTAATTGATCTAGAAATGATTAATATAAAACAATAAATGAATTGTAAATAAATAAATTTTCAATGGTTGAGATCATGGGACAGTTGATGCTAAACCATGATGAAATGTCTGGAGGCACTGGACGGTCGTCTCGTCCTACTGTAGGACTTCTCAGCAGTACACATCCACGATTTCGCCTCACGAGATTCGAACTCACAACATATCAGTCTCAAGCGCGAGTTTTTAACAACTAGACCACTGAGCTGGCATCCAACGATGTTAATGTCTAGCTTCAACTAATCCACGAAATTGAACGACACATCCAACATTATCATCAGTGAGTTACGATCTCACAACTCACCCGGTTGAACTCTACTACTCAATGCTTACCACTAGAACTCCAGATAAATACCTCTTGGAGACAGTCACTAATGAGCATATATTCAATAATATCAGATATAATTTGTTACTTTGAATATATACATTATTCTTTTTATTTAAAATGTGACGAAACAAAACTAAGACGGCGGATAGCTGTTCTTATCAGCTTAAGTCAATATAGAGATTTTCAATTTGTGAATAACCATTTAAACGTGATGAAATATTTGTGATAGTCATTAGGGCGGTAGTATACGAGTGAAATATAAATTTGGGTGATAAAACAGTCCACTTGTTCATTGAATTGTTGCTATTTCTTTTCGAGATTTAGATACGATACCACATGTTTGTAATCCACCTATACGTCCAATAAACAAAACTCTTTTGTAAGATGAATTAACATGTTGAATTCACCTTATATTCCTTGATGAGTACAGAAAACTACGAAAAACTATGTTATGTTGTAGACTACGTCTGACTATCCGGTTTCAAAATTCGGTCGTTTAGAATTAGGAAAAACGCTGTATACATTTTTTTCATTGATGTTAATAGAATTCTGCAGAAGTTGATCGTTATTATCGAAGAGAAATTATGTGACAGTATTTTGTATATCGATGAGTTTGGTGACTTACCGGATAACTTAAAAGCTTCCTAAATAGAAATTCTGTATCAAATAAATTTCCATGGAAAACCTGGAAGGACAATACGGCCATCCAGTGCTTCTAGGTTTTCCATTGTGTTCTAGCTTCGATTGACTCATGATCTCAACAATTGAAATTACTTAAATCTCCACAAAACCCCTTCTGATACAAATAAACTTTTATTAGAAAGGTGGGGTTTTTGTAAAGATAGTAGTAATTTAATGGTTGAATTCATGAATTCATTGGTTGAAGTTAGCCACGAACACTGTGGGATGCCGGCTCAGTGATCTAGGTGTTAAGCACTCGTGTGAGAGGTCAAAGCGCCATGGTTAGAATCCGGCGAGAGGGGTCGTAGATGTGCATTGAGAAGTCTCGCACTAGGAAGAAATGGTTGTCTAGTGCTTCTAGGTTTTCCATAGTGATCTAGCTTTATTTGACTCATGAATTCAACTATTAGATTAATTTTAATTTAAGTAGTATAAAACGCTTGGATTATTTAGATCGCTACATTTTATTTCATTTTAAGATAGTTTAGTTTATCCTGTTGTGAAAAGTCTTTATATTCTAACTCGTCTTTGTTGGTGTATGTACATCCTGTCCAATTGCATCGAAATAACTGTTATATCATATGTTTACATACAATGAATATAATGTGGGGCTCATTTGATCTTGTTTGTGACCAATCAGCTGAATATACCCAGAGTTGTTGCCCAATCCACAATATAGATATATCCAGCTGATCACTTCTAAATAGGACCAAAAAAGCATCCTGACTTAGATTGTCAGCTACATTCTACAGGTTCTATTGAATGTTTTTGTAAATAAATTCTTTTGTCTTGAGTAAAACATGCATTGTCTTATCGAATCCTGTAGTTTTATGTATAATCATATAGAATTTAAAGTGATGGGTGCCACATTCTAGTTTTATTGTGAATATGAACATTTAGAAACCACTAAATCTATAATAAGATGGAATGTTTGTCCTTATATTTCGACAACTAGTCAATATTCGAAATGTAATTAAATTTTCTTTGAAGAAAATCGTTTTAACGACATGAAGACTTTAAACAATGTAATTGAACAAATTGAAACTATCTATTTTTTCTACCTAATAGATCAACTGATTGAAGCTACCCGACGACAGCTCATTCAAGTTATTGATATTCAAGGAAAGCTTACAAACATGTGATATATCAAGCCTTTAGTGAGAGTCATAATTAAGCAAATACATTGCATTCAATGTTCTAAAACCTGTAAGTGTATCTTATTTCATAAGTGAGATTATAAGAATTTTAAATGTTTAGCCATTCATATTACTGAATCCACTTAGCAAAATCACTTACCTGCTGTTATTTTATACTAACATTGTCCCTAGCAGCCTTAACTAATTTGGATAATATCTAACACAAATGATAAATCAGAAGATAACCTGACTTAACTAACCTATCGTAATAATTATTGTCCTTTTTTCTATGATTTCTGCTTCTGCTTTATTTTCTCTAGTTAAACATAGTTATAATAAATTCGTTATAGCGTAAGAAATGATCTTGGATACATCGTTCATACATCAACAGAATGTCCACTAAAGAAGAATTAAAAGTTCTTAGCTGATGAAATTCATTGTTATAACACAGTTTTTGAATTAGTAAACTTAAAACAATCTTATATCACATATTGTTTTCCCTACATTTAATGTTACTATTCGTATCAAGGTGATAATTCTTGTAGACTGGCATGAATTTTGTAATTATTCTTTTCAGAATGTATATAAATAGAGTCACAATTACTAAATATTGGGAATATTGAGGCATGGACAACACTTGTCATTAACAGTCTTAAGTTGAATGATCATTTAGTGTATTTTGAAAGGTATAATTTTATCGCCCATTCATGTTTCAAACTGTTTGAGGTAGTAAGTATTATCAATGGTTATGTAATGCACTGGATTAAGGTTCTCTTGTAATTTCTTTTTTTTATTTTGTTTGAAATTTAAGGATATAGGTTATGGAACTATTGTAATCGTATGCATATCTATCACGTTTCGGTAAATGTAATGGAAATTTAAAAAAAAATTGAACTAAGTGAATCAGTTGCATTTAACATGTAACTTTCTCACTTTAGTACAAACCATAAAAGTTATTTAAAGTGGGTTTCATAACTAGGCTTCAGTTATTCCTTAGCTTGTCTAATGATACATAAGACATTTCAATTGTAATGTTCAGAACATTAACCTTTAAAGCTTACTGAACTATTTTCTGGTCAATACTTTACACAACCAAGATAGCGTTTTTAAACTATGTTAGTAGAAACACTTTTTACTACAACGTGGGACCAGGAACATATATGTATTGGTTCAAGTTGCCATACGTCATTAGCACAACAAGATGAACACCGAATTCATAGAAGTAGTCACTTCAATGGTATTAATATATAGAAGAAAGATTGTGTATAAGAATATGTTACTGGAAGAAAGAATTAGTTTGTAGAAAGAAAGATTTGAGGCGATTTTAGTCTTACGGTTTAAGGGAAGACAAAGAGTGTATACATCGATGCCATTGTGATTGATTCGGGGCCATGTCATCCAGGGTCTCCGAACATTGGCTACGATAGTCACGCGGACCTTGACCAAGTAGTCTGCATCTACCAACATGGCTCAGACTAGGCGTTAGTGAGTTCAAGGACTAATGCCACTTTTTCACCAAGACAGACGTGATATCATAGGATGATACTGAATATTGACATATTGTATATCGTTATTCAATCATACATATGGGAGTTGTGAAAGGCAATTTGAACGATGGGTGAATTAAAACATTTACTTATAACAACGTGAACAAGATGGCGAGTAATTGAACATTGTGGCTCAATGATTAAGGTGTTGAGCAACTGAAGCAAAAGTACTATGCTAAAGTCCTAGTGTAAGCATCAACACTAAGATAAAGGTGAATCCAGCTGATGAGTCCTGATTCTACTGTTAAACACAACCCACCTATTATAAGTCACTACAATTTCTTTCTCAGAAAAATAAATAAATATCAGACGATATAAAACTCACACATAAAACTATTCGAATTGTTTTCATTATTATAAATGTGAGTAATTTTTCTTATCAGATTTTTCTACTACTACTACTACTACTACTACTACTACTACTACTACTACTACTACTACTACTACTACTACTACTACTACTACTACTACTACTACTACTACTACTACTGCTACTACTACTACTACTACTACTACTACTACTACTACTACTACTACTACTACTACTACTACTACTACAGAAACATATTTCTCTTACTAACTATTCACTTAACTATGTAGTGATGGTTTAATGTTAATTAGTACACCTTTATATTAAGACAATACACTGGCGTCATGCTAATAGATAATTGATATAGTTTTCTAGAAGCTATTTCTTATTCTTAAATACCTAAAAACCAAAAATAAAAAACAGAAATTCAGTTAAAAGTGTCCTATTGATTACGTCTAGCTATTCACTATTATATCAATACATTAATTATTACAAATTACTCTTGTAATGAAATCATTGTTACATTTTCTCTTAAAAAGTAAATTAATCTAACGTTTTTTAGGAAAATTCTGGGGTTTTCATTGTGATTTTTTTCCTCTCTCTCTCTCTCTCTGTTTCTTATCTATCCCAAGATCATTTCTTGATATACCTTGGATCATTGGTTTGTTCTAAACTGTACAATCATATTCATACATATTCATACATACATACCAATTCGTGTGAACTAAAAAGAAAACCAGACTAATATTAATTACAATGCTATAAATATGTACATATATAGTAGTTATGGCAAATAATACAATACCTTAATTTCCCTACACCAACGTTTGTTACTATTTATTCTGATAATGTGGATTTATAATTGATAATGAAACACATCTATCGACATGGGATTAAGTGTACATTATTAGGTATATCTGTTTTAATATTACATGGCTTTTAAGTGTAAACAAAATGGAAATGAAAAATTG